ACTTGGTGACAAAGCATGATTGAGGAGTGTATAACAACCCTTAAAAGAAAAAGAAAAAAATTTTTTCTCTTAAGCTAGTCCTAAATTTGGGTTTAAGCAAATAGGAAAAAGAAAAGAAAGGTATTGTGTGAGTCGGATGAGGCGTGAAACGCACTCACTCATAACCAACCATGAAATGAGATGGAGCATAAATGCACTCATTCTTTTTCAAACAGAAAAAAAAAAAAAAAAAAAAAAAAAAGAGAAAAAAAAATTGTATCCTTGTAGTTGCTACCCAGTTGTAGTAGTAGAGAAACAGTAAAAGAAAAGTTGAGAGGGAGTTGTACATGAATTGGTTGTGATTAGTTCCCTTGTTTGCATTGTGACTGATTAAGAGTAATTGTGGAAGATGATAAAGAGAGATGAATGTCATTAACTCTGTTTTATTTTATTTGTTGGCTTCCTAAGTTGTATGAATATGCATGGATTAAATATGTGTGCTTATGCATCATGCTGATGTTCTGTCTTGAGATGACTGGGAGTGATGGTGTTCCTATTGACTGAGTGTGAGGTTTGTTTGAATTAGTTTGCCGAGGACGTGCAAAAGCTAAGTGTGGGGAATTTGATGGGAATGCAAAATGTCATATTTAAGCCCCTTAATGTTTAGTCTTTTATATGTATTTTTTTCCTAATTGTACTCATTATTACTTTATTTTGGTTTAGGAAGCAAATGGAGTGTTTAATTGAAAAACGAATTAATTAGGAGAATTCGGACAGTTTCGCCACTGCTTCGTATTCTGGGCATAATTCTCTCATCCGAGCTCCGATTGAGATGATCAAAATGCTGTGAACGCTAAAAAGAGATATACAACTTTAATGTTTTGAGTTTTAGAGATACTGACTGATCAAGGTTGTAATCGAGCTTGAAGTTGACGCACCTGCATTACCGACGTCCTGGAGCGTTCTGACTTGTTATGCAAGTCTCTATTATGTGCATGTTTTAAGACATCATCGCAGCTGCACGAAATTACAGCTGGAAACACCACCTTCCTATTGTATTAGGACTCTATTTATTTTTATTTCCATTAGAATTAAATTAGGATTAATGTTATTTTAGGATAGGAGAATATTTCTTTTAGGAGATTGAGTGGGATTTGAATTCTTAAATGAGATTTTAAAAGGGATGAGATTAGGTTTTGGGGGACCACGCCTCTCTCTCTTTCTCTTCTCTGAAATTTTCTTTCACTTGAGTTTGTGTGTGGCCATGAGCGGCTAGAACTTTTGTAACTTGGTCGAAGGAAACGGAACCTCGGAATCAAATAAACTGGAGATCTTTCTATTTTAGGTTAAATTCATGTTTGAGTATTGAATGTTATTCTGTGCATATTTTTATGATTGATCATTTAATTACTAGGAGGCCTACTGTGTATATTGTTGAATCTATTGCTAAGTTGATATCAATCCGTAATTGTTTGATCCTCCAACTTGTGAAGCATTAGGGTAAGTAATTGCTGCGTCAGGAATTAGTAACCTTACGAAGAACTTCACTAAATTAAATACAACCGCTTGTGTTTGTGTGTTTAGCTTCGTCGATCTCTCTAATCTTAAGGCTGCCACTAGATTAATCTTGAGCGCTTGTCTAGGGTTGTTTAGGGGGTAGATTAATTAGGATCGCTTGTTTCCTGATTAATTACAATTAAGGAGAGATAGGAAATTTTTTCAACGGTGAATATTCAATATGTGAATTGATTTTCTTTGCATCATGATCAGTTATAAGATTTCGACGGTGTGTTGACAGAGACCAAGTTCGTCCTTTTGATTGAATTCGAATTAAATGTTTTTTGCTTTTACTGAAATTGTTTTTCTGTTTTTTACATAAACCCCCAGCCTTGTTCACATACAGCATCACGTAGACACTCTTCGTGGGATCGACCCTGACTACACACTACGTGTATTTTTTAGGTTTTAATTCTGGTGCCTACGACAACAGACCATATATCTGCCTATAGCAACACCCATTTGTTGAACCAGTTGTCACCAAACACCTTGACAATTGAGATCAGTCACTGCCTCTCGACAGGGTCGTTCACCACTATGATAGCCTTACCGTATTATCTATGCTCTTACTTCAATAATACTAGGGCTACGGACGTTTCTAGAATGGCCACCCATGTGTCTCATAGGGTTCTCATATCAAGATTTGAAACACTTGATACCCTCCCTTGCCGGGTTCTACCATTCTAAGGACAATATACATCAAAACCTTATTGCAATAATAATATTTTGCGATATATAGATAAAATGCCTTTGTATTGAATTATGAACATTAGTTAGCAAGAGGTCAATTCTACATATATTTGCTTGGCGTGGCTGGCATACTACCGTTTTAAACAATGGACAACCTGGTCATTTTGTTCTCTGTAAGAAAGCAAAAAAATCATTAGCCTTAGTTGTCAAAGGAGAGTTAAAGATAGAAGATGGATAGTCTGAGAATTAAAAGGAAAACCTACTCAATTCCCTAAATTTATGGACTCCGTCATACTCAAAGAAGAAATATTTGGTTTCATAAGCCCCGACGTTGCTAGGGTAACCAAATATCCCTTCTTTGATCATTGATTGTTTAGAGAGGTAGTATGAATCCTTGTCTTTACTCCTCTTTAGATAATAGGTGCAGCCGAGTTCCACTGTTGTTAGTTCGTTGACGTTATTTTTTGCCAAATGCAATCTACATAGCGATTACTATCAAATATGCATTGGGCATCAACTGGAACGGTGTGACTTAGAAGTGGTCAAGAATTGACCTAATGTAGAGGTGGAGGGGTATCATCACCCCACATTTAAAAATCGCTTTCGAGATCGCAGCCATCCCCCCGGGAGGGTCCTGAGTAGTGTGCGACCTGTGTTGGTAAACGTTTACATTGATCGCAAATTGGTCTATCCCCTTTTGTATCTCCTCCCCTGTAATTGTTGTTCATACCGCCAGCCCGAGACTTACCGAGGTACCTGGTGGCCGCAAGCTTCCCTCTCCTACTGTTCTTACCTCAAGAGTGTCCATTGCTCTTAAAGTCTGAAAATGTGCAACATGTAGAGGTGAATCAGTCTCCGTACACATTGCCTCGTACAACAACTTAAAAGAATGAAAGAAACCCTAAAAATTCTTAAGGATGGTTTTCTTTAGGATATGTGCCCAAAGTTTCTATTCTTAAAGGTGTTTCTTTTCAAACACTACCCAAGAATATTTATCATCCAAACCCATATCTATACCCACCATTACTATATAAACTGAGTTTTTTAACAAAAAGAGAAAAAGAGAAGAAATTTTCTTTACCTCTGGATAGCTAGGAATGGACGTTATGTAGTAATGACGAGTGCGCATCAACCAGGAAGAAAAAGAACTGATTTCTTGAGTGTAAAAATGATTTTTTTCTCTCTGAAAGTGCAAGTTCTATGAGAAACTTGGCATGGGCTTAGGGTTTAATAGGGAAGAAGGTGACGTTTGGTTTCTTTTATACGCGACGATTGGGCGGGACACGTTTCTAGCCATTGATTGCGACCACGAGTCATCAATCTAGGTGAAGAGTAACTGTCACACTTCGTGGAAATCAACCAGCGTTTCCTTTCATTGAAATTGCCAAGCGACGGCGTGATTATCTTTTCCACATTAAATGCGCCCTCATCTGCATTTAATGCCTTAAAAGAGAATGTCGTTTCAGCATAGCTTTAATGCTCATGGCTGACACTTATTGCGCAAAGACACGTCTATCAGAAAAAGCTTATTTTATTGACTAAGACAGTTGTCAAGCGCAACAGATAACATCTAAAGAGGTCGTTCAAATAAAACACTCTTCTTCATGTGTCAAGCTCGAAGTGAAGTGATTCTTAGTTTTCGACGGTAAAATATCCAAGTGTTTTTAGGTCGCGAATGACAGATAAAGTTTAAAGCACATCGGTCTAGCATTGAGTAGGATCCGACATAGGTCGTTGAACCTCTTTGGAACGATCACCTCAGGTCACTTGTGTAACGCTTGAAGATCCATGTCGTGACCTCCATTTGATTTGCTGGTCGAGTTAAGCTGGCATCCTCATGTCGTTTTGGTATTCTCAACTATTAGTTTGGGTAAGTCCTCTTAGGGACAATTCAGATCGCGGCATAATCATGAAGTTTTCAAGATTCAATTCTTGAACCTTAAGAATTGGGGAGCTTTTGTTATGCCTAAAAAATTAAGGTTGATGTAAGCCTACATCAGCTAGCTCCAATCAGAGTTTAGGAGGGCTTTGCGTTGTCCAAGAGCTGCCACGTCACCCCAAGACAGAGAAAATACGGCTGTCACTAACCTGGCAGATTTAGGTTTCGTCTATAAGTCAATGGGAGCCACACACTTGTCCAAGCCTTAGGTAACTTGAGGATATATCCTAAGTTATCAGCCAATGGGAGGCAAGGAAAGACTTGCACGACACCTACCCACTTGCAGATGTTAGAGTAGATGCCCTAGAGCCAATCAATTATTGTAGAATTGACTCTTTGTAATAATGTTCATTAATCAATAAAAGGCACGTTATTCTATATCGCGTAAATCATTATTATTGCAATATGTATTGATATATGTCCTTAGAATGGTAGAACCATGACGAGGGTATCAAGTGTTTCAAATCTTGATAGTGAGAACCCTGTGAGCACATATGGTGGCCATTCTAGAAATGTCCGTAGTCCCAGTATTATTCTGAAGTAAGGGCACAGATAATAAGGTAAGGCTATCATAGTGTTGAACGACCCTATTGAAAGGCAATGACTAATCTCANGGCATAACATTAATCGAAGCTCTTAAATCTAACATAGCTCTCTCAATTCTGGTGTTACCTATCTTACAAGGAATTGTAAACATACATGGATCCTTGCACTTGGGAGGAAGTTTTCTTTGGAAAACTGCTGACACATTTTCTCCCATTATTATCTTCTCATCACCGTTCAACTTCTGCTTATTGGTGCACAGCTCCTTAAGAAATTTTGCATACCTTGGCACTTACTTAATTGCATCCGACAGAGGTATATTCACTTCCACCTTGCGAAACATCTCCAAAATCTCTTTATCCTTCTCTTCTTTCTTTGATTTCGCGAATCTGCTGGGAAAAGGTAAAGTATTAGACGAAAGTTGAATTGAAAGGTTAGGAATTACCTTTGATTCAGTTGTAGCCTCTTCTCTCTCAATTTCATCTTCAATTTCTGCTTCCTTTGCTACACTTGGAATGTTCAGCTTCGGTTCTTCCACTTTCTTGCCACTTCTTAGCGTTATTGCATTCACATTTTCCTTTGGGTTCACCACTGTTTGAGAAGGCAACTTCCCTCCAACTTGAGCCTCTAAACGACTTATAGCAGTTGCCATTTGACCCATCTGATTCTCCAAACTTTGAATACTAGATCTTGTATCTTGTTGAAACTGTTTGGTATTCAAAGCAAGGGATTTCACTATATCTTCCAAGGATGAGTTTGAATTCTGTGACGCAGGTTGCTTCGGTTGAAACCCTTGTTGTTGTCTATTCTGGAAGAAATTCTGTCCACCTCCTACTTGTCGATTTCCTCCATAACTGAAATTCGGATGATCCCTCCAACCTGGATTGTACGTGTTGGAGTAAGGATCATATTGCCTCCGTGGTCTAAGAAAGTTTCCTGCTACATTAACCTGCTCAGTCCCTTCCTCTTGAAGTGTTGGGCACATGTCCATTTGGTGTCCTATTGTCGAACAGATCCCACAAGCTTTACCTGTTGCGCATTCCCTACAGCCAACTGTCTAACAAGAGAGGTAAGATCAGATAATTGTTGTTCAATGGAAGATGTACTTACCTCATTCACCTTTGTGGGTGGTGCATCATGTCTTGGACCAAACTGTTGGGAATTGGCAACCATGTTTGAGATTAATTGTTTGGCAGCTTCAGGAGTCTTATCCACCAACGCACCTCCACTTGCTGCATCTATCATGTTTCTTTCCCTAGGCAGCAATCCTTCATAGAGATACTGGATTAACAATTGATCACTTATCTGCTGGTGAGGACAGCTTGCACATAGCTTCTTAAATCGCTCTCAATATTCATACAATGTCTCCCTATTATATTGCCTTATACCACATATCTCTTTCCTGATGGTGGCAGCTCTAGAGTCTGGGAAATATCTTTCTAAAAACAGCCTTTTAATCTCGTTCCATGTTGCGACTGTCCCCGATGATAGATAATATAGCCAATCCTTTGTATCATCCCCCAACGAAAAGGGAAAAGCTTGCAACTTAATCTGCTCCTCTGTCACCCCAATCGGTTTCATGCTTGAACAGACTACATGGAACACTTTTAGATGTTTATTCGGATCTTCACCTGCACGACCACGAAACGTAGGCAACAAGTGAATTAGACCAGACTTAAGTTCAAAAGCAACATCTAAAGTAGGGTACTGAATACACAAAGGCTGCTGATTAAAATCAGGGGCAGCCAACTCCTTTAATGTTCTGCCAGCGACCATCTCTTCTTCTATCTTTGAATCTAGATCACTGGATGAACTGTGGGATGCTAAACCAAGGGCTGTATTGAGACCAAGAGGTGAAGAACTTGCTCGACGTGCCTTTTTTCGCAACTTCCGTAAACTGCGTTTGATTTTTGGATCAAATTCCAACTCAATTGAATCCTGTCATAAACCACTAAAATCACCAAATTAAGCCTAAATAAATAAAAAAAATAATAATTCAAAAAATAAAATAAAATAAATTTTTTTCTTGATAGCAACGAAAATTTGCCAAAAACCCTATTAAATGATCGAATTTGAGGACAAGAGGGTGGGGCTAGAAACATTTCTAGTCTTGCTCAGAATGTCGTTTTCTTTGAAACAAATACTCGCAGCACTCCTAATTCAACCAAAATTTCTCTTAGGAATAGTACTTAATAGTACCACTGTTCATGTTGAATAGTGCTACTGTTCAAATTTGTTTTTCTTTTTCTTTTTTTTTTCTTCAAAAATCTAAAAATCACAATTAAACAAAATAAAAAAAAAACCACAACTGAGCACTGATTAAATAAAATAACGAAAAAAAAAAGGTAGAACATAAGAAAAAAAATCGACAGATAACACTCCCCAACAACAGCGCCAAAATTTGGTAGCATGCCGAATGCACCAAATTAATAACTTTCCTAACCTAACTACTGAATTGTATATAGGGTAAGCAAGGGTCGATCCCACAAGGAATGCTTCGATTAAATTCTATATTCTAAAACAATGGAAACAACAAAAAAAATAAAATAAAACCCTAAACAGTAAACATGACAACAGTAATGAAAGGGGGTTGTAGTCAAGGCAAACTAAATAAAACAAAGAAATCTCTAATGGTAGAAAATATCAGGTTAAAAGCAATCAGTTCTCGGTTCAAGATCCACCTTCTATCTCATTATTATGGAACTATTGACCCTAGGAAACAACAAGCTCTGTTACCCGAATTTTCCCTTAATTGTCACTACTGAAATAAGCTCTCCAAGTAGATCCCAACCCTTGAACAACCTAGAATAAGCTCTCTAAGTTTAATTCAATGGCAGCCTTAAGAATTAGGAAAATAGATCAATCTAAGCAACAATCTCGCAAGCTCGGATTATTTAACTTAGGTTATGTTATTCAAGATGACAGAATGAAAACTTGTCCATAATCATCTATCATCATATGTTACTCATTGAATAGAAAAAGGACAATTACGTATCACAATTCCTAATTCTAACAGGTAAAATTCTGATTAAACAATTTAGCAGGCCAAAACTAAATCACTCAAACAAGAATCATAAACAATTAAAACAGAATAACATAAACAATTCCAATAAAAACGAGATTAAGAACAATGTTACTGAAGTCAAGTTACACCAATGACATGAATTTAGGCTTCAAAATCCCCTTGAACTGATGAAGAAAGATCAACCGCACATCTTGACCTAGAAAGTAAAAAAACTGAAAAACCAAACTCCACTGCCGTCCCCCTTGGTTAACCTAACACTCCTCAATAAATAACATGTTTTCTTCTTAATTCTACCCAGGAATCATGGAAAATCTTTCCTAGACGTTTCCTAAAAGATAGACTTCCAGATTTGTCAAAATCTTATCAGATATGGAAAACAGATTTCGTCTCCAGATTTCATCATGTTTCTCTCAATGTAAAAGATCTTTTCTGGGCTCGGTCACTTCATAAAAATTGTAGTCCCGAATGTGTAGATGAATCTGGGCTTTTGAATCACCCGCTTTCTATATCTGACGCTCCAGTTAGGCCGCTTCGAAGATTCAATACTCAGCCAGGAAATCCTTCCACGACTAGGATTCCAGGTCCGGTTTTGCATCAACTAATGAGGACCCAAACGAACTCGGATTCTCACCCATAATACCTTCCTGGAAAGCTTGATTTGTCGACTTTACTTTTTCTGAAGAACACTTTTGCAAAAAGAAATCTGACTCTATGAAAAACCTAAAAAACGCATCACTGGTCAGAATAACAAAAATCTGGAATTTCCTAATCTTTTCTCAATTATTTCCTAAAGTCTATCCAAATATGTCAATCTTACAAAATAAACTCTAATCAACTCAATTAGGCATAAAACATAATAAAAAACATAATATGGAAGGAATACAAAATATATAAATTCCACTCTATCAGAGTATCCGACAAAGAGAATGCACTCACATGGCCAAGGGTTCTGAATCCATGCATAACCGAGTCCGATCGGCAAAGAGTAAGAGAGCATGAGAAAGAACATGGAGAGAGAGAGAGAATTAGTAGAAAAGAATTGTGAGACACAGAGAAACCGAGATAGAGAATAGAAAGAATAAGAAGAGAAAGAAAATGAGAAGAGAGTAACGTAAGGAAATAATTAAGAAAAGAGTTACGGGGATGAGGAATAGAGGATTTACTTACTGGACATTGTTCGTGCTCACCTCGTTGTTTTCTATGTTTTGCAGGAAATAGGTGAGGTTGCGGTCGGATGGACGTCGGCAAACGAGGAGCAATGGTTACACTATCCATTATTTTGATGGTTTTGTACATGATATTTTGTATTATGTAAATAATGTATATATTTTAATAAAAGAAAAATTTGGGCCTAACTACTTTTGTTACTATACATGTATTTTTATTTATGTGTATTTTTATGAGTATATTAGTAGAAAGAGGTTATTACACGGAGATAGGGGTGCTCTGTCCGTGCCCATCCCTATCTAGAACATTCGCCTCTCTTGAAAGACCAAGGACAATCTCGTAATTTCTCTGTCTTAAGCCCTTCAAATTTATGTAAACAAATAATCAAATCAAAAACCCTAGCTGTAGATTTAGCTTCCATTATTCTTTTCTGCGACGACGAGATCGAATTCGTTCAGTTAATTCGATCAACACAGAGCAAAATGGCGTCGTTTCAGGAAGCGCCACCTGGCAATGCCAAGGCCGGTGAGAAGATCTTCAAAACTAAGTGCGCTCAGTGCCACACCGTCGAGAAAGGCGCTGGTCACAAGCAAGGTTTTTATTATTTTTTATTTTTTTAATAAATTGATAATTCTTAGTTTCATGTTTGATCTTATTCACTTGATAATTTTATGGAATAATTTCATCAGTCTGTGAAACTTGAAATTTACTTTTGATAAGCAATGGCTCATCCTGTAATTCATTTTTAGGCTCAGTGATACAAATAAATTGCATTATATATATATATATATATATTTTTTTTTTTTTTCAGTTTTGTGTGTTAGTAGAATTATGTGTGATTTAGAAAAAAAGGTGTCTATCCAGAAAAAAATCTGAAGATGTTTATACCGAAGTTAAATTACACGAATGGCTTGGAAGTGATGATAAACATACTTGTCTTGTTGCGTAAGAATCTGCAATTACTCGAGACTGGTAGTGTTTTGTGTTACTTTTGCGGGGTACTATGCTCTTGGTGTTCAGATATTGTTGTATTTAAATCAAAATCTCTGACTTGTTTCTATTTTCTTGGTATCTGAACTTGGTCAATTTAGAATGTATTTCTGTTTAGAAGCTTTTCTTGTTAAAGAAGTGAGAATTGGATGGGCTTTGAATGGAAAAGATATCGAATTGCAATTGATTGGTCTTTTATTTTGGATATTAAATGCTGGTTCTCTTATTTAAATGATGGTTTCTGGTTTGGCAAAAGATTAGGGATTTTCTTGGAGCTCTTCATTGAGTCATTATACTGCCACTTCTGTTACTGTTGAATTTGTGCTGTGTTAGTACTTTGTAATTCGTGTGGAAAATATTTTTTTGTTGTTTGATTGACTTTATTATGATAACCATTCCATGTTGATCGGTTTCCTTTGGATTTTGAATTGTCTAATCAATTTCTTTTGATTTGCCATTTAGTTTTATTATTATTTATGCGGGTCTCATATTTTGCTGCTTGAGTTGATGTGTACTCTCTGAATGGTTTAAATTTTCAGGACCTAATTTGAATGGCCTTTTTGGGAGACAATCTGGGACAACCCCTGGGTATTCCTATTCTGCTGCTAACAAGAATATGGCCGTTATTTGGGGAGAGAACACATTGTATGAGTACTTGCTTAACCCAAAGAAGGTACAAACAACTTTTGAATCTTCTGCAATATGTTGTATGTAGGTTTTAAATAGCTCTTTTGCATGCAAAATTTTGCCTGATGTTGGCTAAAACTTAACATATTCTATTTTAACATAGAAACATGTTATGTCCTGCCCAGATAAATGCATTTATATTTGGTTTATTCACTGAAGTGATGTTGGAATTGAGTTCTTTGGCTAGTAATGTTGTATTAATTTGTTGTACATTAAATTTGGGATGGCTGCCTTAACACACACGAAGATTACTAAGCCAAGTTCAGTCACATTGCCTAATGACCATGTCCATGCTTAGTTAACATATTTGCCAGTATTGAACTATGTTGTCCTTTAAGAGCTTTACATAAAAGGTTTTGTGAAGCCTAATAGGTAAAGTTTGATGATTTCTTCCGTCTTAAAAAATATTCACACTGACATCGGCATTGTTACATGGTTCGTACAGTATATTCCTGGAACGAAGATGGTCTTCCCTGGATTGAAGAAGCCACAGGAGCGTGCCAATCTCATAGCTTATTTGAAGGAGTCAACAGCCTGATCCTTTTGCTTAGCGTGGGCTATTTTCCAACCATCAGAATAGTTCAAGTTACTTCTACATAATAATTCTTTTTTTCTTTTCCAAAAACTGCGCATCATGAAGGTGACCAAGATCTTTGGAGTTATAGGCAAGCAGAAATTTTTTTTGTACTTCTCAAACTTTCATGGTCTCACAGCTTTTAATTCTCAAAAATTTGTGCTGCTTAATTGTCCCAATGAAAAATTTTAAGCCGCACAATTGGGTACTGTTATAGCAGCTTATGTTGGGGATTTTATTATATCTGGAAATGATGGAATTTTTCAGTCTTGCTAGATGCTTTTTAGGATTTGAATATGTTGTTCATTTTGATGTATTTGGCATGGCTTTTGGAAGATTGATGCTGGTGATGTATAAATCTTCTCCCCTATCACTTGGATAGTTTTAATTGTTTTTCTCCCGGTTTTTTAAACACAGCAAATTTAGGCCTTAGGGTCTGTTTAATGTGAAATTTAAATTTATGGGTCTGTTCAATATATAATTTAAATTCAATTTTTGTTGGATACAAAGTTTTATAATAAAGGATACAAAAGAAGATAATATGAAAAATTATGTTCAATTGAAATGAGTTGGAAAGTTTTCAAGTAATTTTTGTGGAACATAATGGAGTATCTGCAAGGTTACGAATTTATCACTTGGAAGACAATTTTTGCACTTTTTATTAAGTGGATTCTCGAAGTTTGAAAACCACTTCACCCATACTCGTCTGACTTGACTTTGATATGTTGCCATTAGTGTTATATGTTTAAAATGGTAACTTTGGTTTTATAACAAAATGTTATGTTGTCTTAAGGGGGTGTTTGGATCATATAATGTTTTATTATAAGGATATATTATATTAATATAAAGAAAGACCACCTTAAAGATTACTGGGAATGTTTAGAAAATGTGTTTGGCTGGTTCGAATAAATTGGTGAATAATATGTTTAGTTGGGAGGATAAATGAGTTGGTATGTTATATAGATTATTAAATTATATAGATTATTAAATTGCTCTCTTTTTTAAATATTAATATAATAGTATTTTTTATTTTTTTTATTATTATTTTTTGAATCACTTCTTTTTAACCCTTACATTTGAAATTTTGCTAAAACACCTCAGTCATATAAGACTTTAATTTGTAGCAAAATCACCCCAAGCCAGTGCTGATGGCCAACCACCATCGCTGGTCGTCGCCAACAGTCAACGAAATGGCACACGATTGGCTGTATATGACCAGTCGTGCACCGACGAAGCCGAAAATGGCCATGGATCACAAATCCATGGCTGGAAAACGACCCAATCTATGGCAATTTCATAGCCAAAGATGTGGCCGTAAAATGGCCATAGAAATGTTAGATCTGCCCGGAAAAGGCCTTACCGACGCACGACCGGCCAGATCTCGTCGGTCATACACCATTATGGCGACTGACGCCGATGGCCGACGGTGGTGAGTCATGGTCGACAGTGGTCTTGGGTGGTTGAGGGTATTTTGTTAACTTTTAAACTTTTTTGTGGCCGGGCTGTTTTATTATTTTCTCAAATCTGGGGGGGTTGGGAAATTGTTATTTGGTAGACATTTGAAGGCAATTGTGTATGAAATGGTTTTTAATTAAGGGCAAAATGGGTAGAAAAATCAAATTACCCCGATAATGTTTTAATAACATCCCCTAGCAAGGTAATAAGATTACCCCTCACCTTACCAATAGTAAAAACTATTTGCAATGAAGATTCCTGTAATATTTTATTACTTGCAAACCAAACACAGGAATCTTACAAAATAAGTGAAGATTACCCCCATTATCTTATTTACCCTTGATCCAAATGACCCCTAAAAGGGTAATATTAAATCTCATAAGAAAATGTATGTACAGTGCGCTTGGATTTGGGACATATAAGATAACGGGGGTAATCTTTGTTTATGTTGCAAGATTTCGGTGTTTGGTTTGCAAGTGATAAAAAATTACAGGTATCTTTCATTGCAAATAGTGTTTACTGTTGTTAATGTAAGGGATAATCAGATGCCCTCTGTAGGGGCTGTGTGTAATAACTGCTTTCTACTAATATACCCATAAAAATACACATAATAAAAATACATGTATAGTAACAAAAGTAGTTGGGCCCAAATTTTTCTTTTATTAAAATATATACATTCTTTACATAGTACAAAACCATCAAAAATAGTAAACAGTGTAACTATTGCTCCTCGCTTGCCGACGTCCATCCGACCGTATCCTTACCTATTTCCTGCAAAAGCATAGAAAACAACAGGGTGAGCACAAACAATGCTCAGTAAGTAAATCCTCTACTCCTCTATCCCCGCAACTCTTTTCTTAATTCTTTCCTTACGTTACTCTCTTCTCATTTTCTCTCTCTTCTTATTCTTTCTATTCTCTATCTTGGTTTCTCTATTTCTCACAATTCTTTTCTACTAATTCTCTTTCTCTCTCTTTTTTCTTTCTCATGCTCTCTTACTCTTTGCCGATCGGACTCGGTTATGCATGGATTCGGAACCCTTGGCCATGTGAGTGTCTTCTCTCTCTCTAGTACTTTCGGGTAGAGCCCTCATCCGCATGTACTCTCACGGGCTATACCAATTCTTTCTCTCATGCTCAGGCCGCTCTCTCAATGCGGCGTACATGCGGGAATACTCAACCCATCACTCACGAGTTCCCCATCGCACAACCTATTCTATTCTCTTCTTTAGCACTTCTCTTTCTTTTATTCTCTCTTTCTCTTTACTCTTAAAGTGCTTTATTCTTAGAATTTTGTACTCTTCCTCAAGCTATTACACAAATGCAAAATATATGCATGTGGATGGCTCATGCTCATTAAAGGCACTCATGAAATGCAAATATGCAATGTTGCAATAATTTAAGGTTCCCTACTCATAATCATGCTTCTCTTAGGGCATCTCCAACCCACGCCAAAGCGCCACGCCATTTTGGCGTGGTGCTATAATGCTGCGCCAAATTTGGTGCAGCACTGTAGCGCCCATAAATATGTTTTTCTTTTTTTTAATTTTGCTTTTTTTTTTTTTTTAAATTTTGTTAAGTTTATTTGAGTATTAAATTTTACACCATAAATCACACCAAATTTGATTATTTGTATTTAATTTAATTTGATTATTATTTATAATAATAAATTCATAATAATGATATAATTAAAAAAATGATGAAAAATTAAAAATAGAACTTTATTCAATGCAAAATGTTAAACTACAATAACTCAAAATAAAAATTAACACTAATTTAAAAATACTAAAATTAAAAGAAAATACAACATAAACTAAAATAACAATTTAGTATTCCGGTAGATTAGTTCCAGATCCAGTAAGATCATCAAAATATTGAAAAGAACTAGAGTTATTTTGAGATCCTTGACCTTGTTGTTGAGCTCTTTTTTGCATAATTCTTGATTGCTCATTTTGAAAAAACTCACGTGGGCTTGGATCGGTTATAGAATTCAAATCCTTGAATAAAATTTTGTCATCTTCTCGATATTCTGCCAAAGCCAATTTTCTCATTTGGATTTCATAATTTTGTGCCCTAGCTGAGTTGCCTCGATTGAAAATAGCAGCGAGCTGTCGATTTTCTTCTTGAATAGCTTCAAAACCATTTAAAACTTCTTTATCATTTTTCCTTTTAAATTTTGCTTTCTTCACCCCAATGGGTCGTTGAGCTGAACTACCCCTAATATTTTCATCACTTATGTTTAGAGAATTTGACGACATGTCATAAGGCATCGATTGGGGAGACTTTGAAGTGGGAGTCTCTGATTCTTATGATACAAACCTACCGGTTTGCCTTTGAAATACTTCTGCGGCTTTAACATTATCTGTAAATTTTTCAATATCCTTAAGTATAGGCCACACATGATCAAATTTGAAACCTTTCTCGTAACTTTTATCTTGTGCTAGTAACATTTTGGCTTGAATCATCTACAAAACAATATACATATAACGTTAAAATCAATTAGATAAAAAAACAAAAAGTAATTAAATGTAACAAATACTCACAATGTCTTGCCAGAAGCACCACTGGATTCATATTTTCAATTTGACGTAAGCATCCCCTCAATTGCCAATAGCTTTAAAGATCAGTTGCATTCGACATTGCAAAGATCTTTGTTCGAACCTGGGTGAGAACACGGGTTTGGAACTGTTGTAGTCAAGCTCAACTCGAGACCAGAATTGATCACTAGATTGGTTTATACTATAAACCTTTGGTGTGAGGTTTTCTTCAACTATAAAACCTCACACCAAATCAACTTCCAAATCATTCAACTAATATATCTAAAAACATGAATTCAATTTTGGAGGTCCATCTCATTATCATCTTCTATCATCATCATTTTCCGATAATGAAATTGATGATGAAGAATTGATGAATGATCTTAAAGCAATTGATGTAGAGCAAGAAGCAATCCTTCGCATAGAGCAACAACAACCTCCTCCTCCTTCACTATCTCAATCAACAAAACCACAGGTCATCGTAGAGGATCTCTGGTCATAGAGTCATCAATCGCAACAGGGAAACTGCTAATCGCAATTTGTTCAAAGATTATTTTGTGAGAATCCACGGTTTAATGATTCCATGTTTTGCCGACGATTTTGACTGTCTCGCAATTTTATCATCGTATTGTTGAGAGGGGAAAGGTCATGATAACTACTTGTTACACGAAGGGATGGGCTCGGTAGGCTCGGATTGTTTACTTTTCAAAAAATAACAGCGGTATTCCGGATGTTGGCGTTGGTCTCTGGCAAAGCTACTGATGAGTATATTAAATAGGCGAGTCTACAACCATTGAAAGGTAAAGAGATTTTGTCGTGCTGTTGTTGAGGTATTTGCAGAACGATATCTAAGATCACCTAATGCTAATGATGTTGCAAGGCTACTTCATATTGGTGAACAAAGTGGTTTTCCAGGAATGTTGGGTAGTTTAGATTGTAGCACTGGAAGTGGAAAAATGTCCAACAGCTGGGCAGGACATATGCTAGTCGTAATGGATCCCCAACTATATTCCGAGGCTGTAGCTAATTATGACTTTGGGTTGGCATGCATTTTTTAGTTTGCCAGGTTCCAACAATGACATTAATGTGTTGGAGGCATCTCATTTGTCTGCCAACCTAACTCAAGGTATTGCTCCTCCCGCTCATTATAGCATTCAAGGAAAAGATTATAATATGGGTTATTATTTAGCTGATGGATATACCCAAAGTGGTCTACTCTGTACAAACTATTCACGATCCACGTGGTCCCAAAAAAAAAAAATTACTTGAATGAAACAGGAAGGATGTAGAAAAGATGTGGAACATGCGTTTGGAGTTCCCAATCGCGATTTGCAATGTGTCAGGACCGACACGTTTTGGGAAAAATG